AAACCAATCTAATTACTATGGGCATCCTGTGGAAAAAAGCTCCTGTGTTATTATACAGTGGGCTAATGGGTATTGAATAAAGACCAAAAGGGGAGGCCAACAGTGTGTGTGTAATGGTTCCTCCCCTTTTAAAAAAACCCTTACAAATAATCTTACCACAAAAAAAAAGTTTGGAAATATAACTTGCCTTCCAGTTAATATCTCCAATGTAGCAAGCCAATGGTGGGTTTGTAATGGTCCCTATGGCAAGTGTAATTTGAACGGCACAATTAGAAACGCCCCCACTTGTACCCAATCAAAAAAATAGGATGCCCCCTTAGGGGCATATAAACTATTTAAAAAATCAGCCAAAGCAGCCTTAAATATCCCAGGAATCCCCTTAAAAAACAATCCTTACTGGGCCCTACAAGGTCACTATTTTGTATGTGGCCGAAAGGCTTACGAAGTGCTGCCAGCCAACTGGACAGGTAGCTGTTATATAGCTCATGGAGTTCCTCATCTTTCCATAACTGCCACACTGCCCCCCCAAAAAATTAGAAATGCCCAAGACACCTCTGTTAAGTCCCTGCGGCAACTAACTACGGCATTAAAGGGCAATATAAAAAATTCCCTCACAACCAAGAAGCTTGTAGGGTGCACTATACTGGGAATAGCGCCACTGTTTACCAGGCCATCCATGGCATGCATAGGCCGCTATACTGTAAGGCTGCAAATGGTACTTGATAAAGTGGCCTTAAAATTAAAAAACGGTTAATAATTTAAAATCAACAGTAAAAACATTAAATAAAAAGGTACAGCAGCTCAGGACGTTTTCCCTCCAAAACAGGCTGGCTTTGGACTATCTCTTGGCATCCCAAGAAGGGGTTTGTGCCCTCGTTGGGCCCCAATGTTATGTATATATAAATAATAGCAGTTATAAAATCTATAAAAAGGTGGTACAGGCTGAGGCCCATGCCCGAGCCGAAGCACAGGTTGCTTATACTGCCCCAGAAAGTGATTGGTTGCAAACCTTGTTTTCAGGCTGGGATTTGTCATCTTGGCTTGGTGGTTTATTTAGCCTCTTATTGACATTTCTCTTTCCTGTACTGCTTGTATTAATGGTATTATACTGTGCAGTATCATGTGTCAGGGGCCTTTTACAAAAATTAATAAGTCATTCTCTTCAGAGCTATCACAAAGTGCTTATGCAAAATCCTATTATAAAAAAATAAGTAGCCAAAGTAAAAAAACTCAAAGCCAAGGTTGTTGAGTGTTCTCAAAGGAGGGAGTTGTTGGGGACACTGGGGTATGGCCACTAGGTAACTCGAGGGGATGGAAGACCACGAGTGTCAATGAAGCCCCCTTGCACTAGGCCTCCAAGTGTCCTGCCCCCCCCCCCGTCCTGGAGGCACTCGCAGCAGCTCTGCGTACTAGGCCCACGAGTCCTTGGCCCCCCCGCCTGGAGGCGCTCACAGCAGTTATGCTAAGAATCTGCAGCAATATGTTGCAGAGTCAGACTGCCTGAAACTAAGCAAGGCCAAACAGAGCAACTATAAAAAAACAATGCTAAATAAAGCAGCTTTATGTATAGTTTAACAAATAATACAAAAAACAAGGAAACTAGCTGGAAACTGGATTGGCTGGCTATATGGATACTTAGGGCAGCTTGCTATTAAATAAGTATGCTAAAAAAAAAAAAATGTATAAAAGCCTGTGTAACTTCCTGCTCTGGGTGCAGGATTTGAGATTCTATTCTCCCTGTACCTTTTTGCAGCTGCAAATAAACTTTTCTGCTTCTTCACCCCGTTGTAATTATTGGGTGTAGCACACCGGGTAGCGAACCAACTCCAGGTATTGTTTAGCCTCTCAACACTGGGTGCCGGCAACACCCAGAAAGGGAAGATTAGAGAGTGGCAAGTAATTAGCAAGAACTAGGGTCGAAAAATGGCTGCAGGTTATTGGTGTAACCCTTCTGCCCATCAGAGTTGGCAGCAACAAGGGCCGGGTTCAATATCTAGGGGATCCATTCCAATAACACAATGCAAACCGGCTCGAGCTCCCACCCAGTGACCTGGGACAAATATATACCACCCCCGCTGGCGCCTCCAAGAGGCAATACTTCCCCTCTCGCAAGCACCTAGTCTGAGTGTAGCAAAAAGCCTTTTAATAACAGAGAGAAACAATGTGGCATTATGTTGGGGAAATACCACCAACAGGATTCATAACACAACCCATGAGCAAAAACCCACCCCAAGCAAATTGGGGAATGCCCTTTCCCTTTGGTTCTTGAGTCCAGCAACCCCAAACCACCCAAAGTCCGAAAAGTCCAGTGACCCAAAAGTCTCTGTCCCTGGTCAGGGCAGCCCCAGAATTCAAAATTTTATCTACAGAGCTTTACCTCCCAACCTGGGTGGAGATGGGGGCGGGGGTAAAAGGCACCTTACATGATCTGAAGCTGACCGCCCCATAGCTCCATAGGCCTTCGCTCTTCTCCACTCCACCAGCCGCCCCACAAACTGCTTCCCTCCACTCTGTGGCCCACTAGCAGCTCCCGCCATCCCACGAACTGTTCCACGTCCCACCAGCAGCTCCCGCCGTCCTATGAACTGCTCCACCAGCCTGTCCACAAGGCACTCCAGCCGTCCTGCAAACTTCTCCACAATATATCTTCAGGCTCCCCCACTACTTAACACAATGCTCGGTGATTTCAGCTCTTAGTCAGTTCAGCTCTTTAGTGAATTCAACTTGCAGTAGCGGAGCCTCAGTGCTGGTACACCATTAGCCCAAAGTGAGCTCAGCAGCCTGTAACTAGACTCCTAATGAAATCAAAATTAGCTCTGACATTCCACAGTGGAGAAAGTGCAATTAGCATGTAAGGCCCTCACCAAGGGGCCTATACCACCAAGTATTAATGCTTATCCCCAACTTCTCTCAATTCACAGAGTTTTGGAACCCATGACCCTTGCCTAGCGAGTGCTACTTAGTTAACGGTGAGTCCCTCCATCATAACAAAAGGCAAAGTACAGTTCCAAGCACCGTTCCCATAATCAGGGTAATAACAATTTATTCTTCCTGCCCCAATAACAGAGACACTGGGGATCCCACAGCAGTCAAAGTGACCATTTGGGCAGCTATGGCCTCATTCTAGGTGGGGTGGGTGAGCCTATGCAAATGAGATCGGCCCCTGAAGTTCTTTTCCACAACTTGCCACACCTCACCACCAGATGTCAGGGTGGAGCTCATCCTGACACTGCTTACATCGGTAAGCCACCCATGGTGACCAGTGAGGATGATGCAGAGGGAGGGTGCAGAACATGTATGGGTTATGGATAATAGATTGTAATACTGCCTCCCCTTCCCCCCAGGCAGTCCACATTTCTGTCCCTGGGCAGATCGGTTTCAGTCCATCAGTCTCGAGGTGAGATCATCCCTGCAGGTCCTCTGCCAGATCAGGACTGTGGGTGGGCCCTGACTTCAGAATGGAGTAGCTTGTGATCAGAACACGATTGAAGCATCTCCCATCATACCAAAAATCCAGAATGACTCCCCTTGCATGGGTACACCCTGTTGTAAGCCACTCAATGAAACAAAGTTATCATTTATGAGTATATGGAAGATGTTTCAGAGTGGCAACTCCAGGATCAGTCCCACTATAGAGGGTCTGTGATGTTGTGGGGTGGTCCATATATACCACAAGGATTCCTATACCCTCTCTATTTGCTGTATATCACACCCTATTCACCATATCTCAAGACTCATATCAAGACCTTGTCCATGAAGGAGTAGATCTCTAGTGCGTGCCTTACCTCTGATATGCAGAGAGCTTGGCACTCCCCTTCCTGCCCATCCCTAAGTTCACGCGTCACCGAGACACCAAATGGCTAAGGCTGTACTAATTCACAACCAAGGGAACTATCCAGCCATGGGTCCGTAAAAGTACAATAGGAGGCCTGTAGCAGGGTGGCCATTTGCCTGGCACCCCGTCGTGGCCAAACACATTTCCACATGGCTCTCGCTCTGTTCCCTTTCTTCAGAAGCAGCACACAGCCTCCCAAGGCTATCACCAGCCCTCCCCTGAAATGCGGTCCGTAGCCTAAAGTAATTCAAATAGACCTTAAGGTCACAAACGCAACGTCCATTGTACTAGCTCCATAGTTCATACCCACCTCCAATGCAACTGCCATGCACAAAGCCCGTATTCCACTCTGCAGACACCTCGCCTACCTCTATATGTGCACACAACCTTGGCGCTTCCGGCTGCCTTTTACATTGACAACACCTGACTCCTCTCAGGGGAGTCTCCTCTTGCAACAGCGCTGGCTTAGACCCAAGCTCTCCAGCCCCTGGGCAAGCCCCCCTGACACAAGGCCTCATCCACAATCAGAGCATGACGAGAACTGGTTTTATTAATGAGCTGTCTGGCTTTGGTCAGCCGAAGTCTGGAGCCCTTGTCTATTGTTGTCTGGCCATGTAAGGAGTGGAACTCAGGAGTGATCTAAGGGGCAAATAATGAACCCCTGCTGACCAGGCCATGCCTAGGCTGGTGGCACCTTACCCTACTGCCCCTTGCTGGCTGGGACAGGGAAGGGAAACCATGGAACCTGCACCTGCAGCCTCCCAGAGCAGCCCCATTGCAGTCATGGGCCCAAGACCCCGTGCAGGGCACATCCCCTCCTGCAGCTCAGGTCAGAGCGGAGCTTTGCTGGAGGCTGCCCTCGCTCAGGCGGGCTCCTGTCCCCACTATTAGCACAGCACTGGGCAGGGTTAGCAGGCAGCACCCCGGGACACACCCAACCAAGGGGCAGGGGAGCTGCACCCTGAGCATCACACAACCCCCTGTGCCACAGCCAGGGGCGGGGCCTATTGTGAGTGGGGACGGGGCCTGGCCGGGGCGGGGCCCGTGGGAAGGAGGGGTGTGGCCACGTGCAGGGGCGGGGTCCGTTGGAAGAAGGGGCGCCGCCAGGCACAGGGGCGGGGCTGAGGCGGAGTAGGGGCGGGGCCTGGCGCGGGGGCGGGGCTGCCGGCTGGGGGGGGCGCGGCGGTGGCCGCCTGCGCCCGCGGGAGGAAGCGGCGCCGAGAGGCTCGAGCCGGCACCATGAACCGCTTCAAGGCGTCCCGGTTCCGGCATGCGGCGGCCAAGCCGGCCCGCAAGGAGGTGAGTCCGGTGGGGCAGGGCCGCCCCCGCAGCCGCGCAGTGTGCGCTGCGCCCCGCCCCGCCTCGCCTGCCGCCTCGGCTCGGGGGGGCCCTGGGGACCCGCGGTTTCCCAGCCCGGCCCCCGGGACCCCACGACCTCCCCCCTCCGCCTCTCTGGTTCCCCGAGCCCCTCTCCCCTGCTTCCCCCACCCCACGCTAAGGGACCACCCCTGCTTCCCGTGCCTTGCTCTGGGGGGGCCAGCCCCGGAGGCTCCCTGGCCCCCACCCCATGTCTCCCACCCTGCCCTGGCCCCTGGTGGTCCGTTTCCATCCCCTCCCCCACAGGTTTTGTGGGGTAGAGGGCACATGGCTCCCCCCTTGGAGCTCCTTTCCCGGTGCTCCCGGGTGCAGGTGCCAGGCAGAGCTGGGTGATGCAATTTGAGGGGCTTTGACCTCCCATGACCCTGGGTTGGCTGGGTGGCCCCCAAAGTGCCTTGTCCCCTCCCCTCTATCTCCCTCCCTGACCATGCAACCTGGGGTGACGGGGGATGACGTCTCTTCTGGAGGTTCCCCAGTCACAGGTGGTCCCAGGCAGCCTGTGGCTGGGATGAGCTCTGGGGTCTGAGTCTGTCTGCTCCCTCGCTCCCAGTTACTGCACTGGGATCCAGCGGAAGTAAACCCCTCTGCTCCCAGCTTGCTCTGGTGTCAATGGCCATGTGTGGTGCAGGATGGTGGAGGTCTGGTGCCTAGGTCCTGGAGTGGGGGGCTCTTCCCTGATAGCTGGTGATCTCCAGGTGCCTGTCCTGGCTGTGAGTGGATATGGGCCATTCAGTTTGGATGTATCAGCGCTTCCGCTGTTCACATCCAGAGCTCTGAATGGCATTGCATTTCCTGGGCTTTGTTTGCTCTCAGGCCATCTCCAGGCTGCTTTCTTCTGCATCATTTTTTAACTGTCAGAAATCAGAGAACAACTCTCATCCCATCAGCCAGTCCCTGAACTCACATGCCGGTTTTATTGCTGGTATGAAAAAATCTAACTGGAAAACAAGATCCAGCTGACTCGAAATGAGTTTTCAGTGACTTAGTTGCTATCTAGGCTGCCTGGTTGGCACCCTGTCTGTAAAACACAAATACCGTTGTCTTTCTGTGTTGGATCTTAGCATTTTTCACCTAGGGTTATCTGCCTTATTGTAAGTGTTCTCCCTGGAAACTTTTTTCCTAATGACACTGCTCTGCTAGATATTCTGGTGCCATGTGGCTTTGAAATGCTAAGTTTACCACAGTGTGCTGTTCCAATGGACTTCTCAAAGAGTTGTTGCAACTGTTTTCAGTTTAGGGTTTTTGTATCACAAGATGTTCTCAGCATTTCCGCCCTCTCTTCCTCTCAGGGGTTGAGTAACCTCTTCCCTATGATGTAGAGCTTTTCTTTACAGAGCAAATTTCTAGCTTAACCTGCTAGGAAATGAAAATGTTTCAACATGTCTTTATGCTAATGTGGCAGAGACTGGCAGTGTGCATCTATGCTACCAGTGAATTAGAGCAGGAGGTAAGGACACTGCATGACCGTGATCCACAAATGCAACTCTACGGACAACTTCTCTCAGTACAAACTGGGAATCTTGGGTGTCAGACACTCTGAGTGCAATAAGCTACAAACTTAAGCATTAGGAAGCAGAAGAGTGAAGGTGGTCTAACAAGAGCCTCATCCTGCAGCCTGTTTACATGTGGTGAGTGGCCTCATTGGCTTCTGTTAGCCCACTCATGCAAACTGAGGCTAGGGGATCAGCCTCTTAATTTGGAGGCACACAGCTTGGGTTCTACACCTCAGTTATATAAGCCTAACTAGTAAGTGCATTATGCAGGGATTGCATTGGGAGTTAAGTATGTTCAGCATGACTTTCACATTTCCTCACTCTTGCAAGTGTAAATTGGCGGCCATTAAAGGCAAAAGAAATATATTAATACCCAACTACTTTCTTTACATAAACGGAAGATTGAACCTGCTCCTGTGATACCAGGGGACTGCCCAAGTCAATTCTGTGCCCCTGAGTGGTGCAGAGTGGAACTGTGCAGTCCTGTGATTCTGTAGATAAGAAAGTGAGGGTGCAGACTTTTGGATAGCTTGCTGCAGTGCTGTATAGTGAACAGTGCATGCACGTGTGAGAAGCTCTGAACTACTACATTAAAAATGATGAAAATATTTTATGCCTGTGTAGTAACGATCTCCCTAAAGAGTCTAAAGTTCTGTGATTCTCTGCCGTGTTCTTCACAGCCCTGCACTTCTATAGCAGCTGATTGGTGGGGATCTTGGAGTGCTGCACAGGCCATTTGCCCCAGCTCAGTTCACTCACCCCAGAGGTGGCTTCCTTTTCATGGGTTGGTAAGAGAAGGGAAGTGATACTTCTGAGTGCTCAGAAATGAGAGGTGCTATATAGCTTGTCAGGGTTGTTTTTGTACAGAGCAGTGTAATTGCACATGGCACTTTACACTCACATTGGACAATGTTCAATGCTTCCAGGTGCTCACAGTTCAGTAGAAAGCGATCACAGAGCACACTGGCTGTTAGAGTATCTGACTCACTAAACGGAAGAGCGGTTGGTTTTTGTTTATTGGGCAGCAAAGTTTAGCTTTAAGCTTTTAACTATCCCCCCTCTCAAACAGTTGATTTAATGTCCATTAGAACTGTTTGAGCCAGTAATCTTGTGGGCCAGTGTTGTGCAAACTTCACTCACCTAAATCTGCTGTTGGACACCACTTGGCCCTGATGTACCTCTGACCTGGCCTGTAATCCCTGTGCTATTCAGGTCTAGGCTCAGGGCATAGCTCCTTGTCTGCCTGTCTCTGGCACACAGTGCTTCCCAGTGGCAGCGTGAAACTGACCAAGATTGCATCTCTTCTGCAAACTCTGTTCAGGAGCACAGGGCTGATCCTGGGGGAAGGGAGGGAGCTGGAACAGGAGGGAGCCTGAAAAGAAAAGGAACTGCTAGAAAAGAAACTGGGAAAGGAACAGGAGTAGGAAATGCCCTGGGGTGCATTGCTGTTGGATCGCCCACTGGGAGACCAAATTTTGTCTGTCTGTATTCAGACCAGCAGATGGCTAGGACTAGGGGACAGGACCAAGGGAGGAAGTATTTCCTCATACTACTCTAGTGACCCCATCCTGACCTGCTGTTTCTGGGCATGGGAGGCTTTGTGACACCCTGTTATGAGAGCCATAAGGGCTCTAGATTAGCCCTTCTGGGTTCGGTGGCCTTTATGGGTCAGGGATGAATAAATAAAGGGCAGGGGACTAGGGGCTTGTGGCAAAGCCCCCCTTGAGTAAAGAGCTAGCAAAGTGAGGGAGGAGAAACAAGGGATGGTATGAGAGGAGGATGGCAGAACTGACTGGGATTGGGGAGTTTGTCTGAGAAAAGAGGCATGCACAATATCCAGGTAGGGAAGAGGTGAGTGAGTTGGGTAACTGCAGGTGGCGATGATACTGAGTTTTTCAGCTACCAGTCTTATTCCATGGGGTGTAGTCATTTTGGTTACCCAGCTAGTCAGGGGTATGGTGCATTATTCCCTTTCCTGACTTAAATACATTGCCTTGAATTATGGCCCTTCTTCTTCCCTGGGTGCAGGAACACTATGCTCAAGTGGTACTGAAGTGCAGACCTTGAATCTGTTGCCAGTTTGAAACCTGAATCTCTTCCTAGATCAGACAGAGCACGTCTGAAGGCAAGGCGGCTCAGGCCCTGCTGATAAAAGCGAATGAGGAATTCCACAAATACCTTTCAAGAACCCAGGAAAGAGAGGGAAGGCAAGTGTTAGGGGGTGAGGCTGGTGCCATGGTGGGGGGCCAGGCTGCAGGGTGATGAAGCTCAGCTCTCTGAGGGAGGCTACAGGGCTGCCTGGCGTTGGAGATTAAAGTCCAAGCAATTCGGGAGGAAAAGTCAGTGGGAGGCAGGGGAGGTGAGGCTGTGACAGTGCAGCAATAATGAGCCTTGAGTATTGTGTCTGCAGCTTTCCTGTTTCAGCAGGCTCAGGTGAGTGACCTGTTCCCTGATGCCATGTGGCAAGGCGCGGCCAGACCAGGGTCAGTCTTTATTACTGGCTTGCAGCTGCGAGTGAGACCACTTGACCTTGCTGCCCCTCTACAGAGCACTGTCTGCTCTCCATGAGATCTGGTGTGTGTGACCCAAATTCTGATTCCTTAACATGGAGACTGTTTTTTTTTTTTTCGCCTTCCATATTTTTAATTGCAAACCATAAGAGTTCTCATAACCCAGGCCCTGTGCAATGAGCAGTTGTCTGCCGGCAGTTCTTGTGTGTGTCTGACAAAATTGTGCAGGTCAAATTAATTCCGCAGGTAAAAGCGGAAGCAATGGCCTAGTTACAGCAGCTGCCTGCACCTCCCGATAGGTTCTTTGCACACCCGCAGTCAGGTGTGCAGAGCCAAGAACCCACCTGGCCCATTGATGCTTCTGTCGAGTGACTGGAATCTTGACTGGCTGTGGCTAAGTTTTCTTCAAAGAGTTGATTCTCTGTATTCAGATTAACAAACTGCTAAATTTCAAAGGCCTAACAGGAGCTGAGCTGCTTGCTAAACAGCAGTGGGTATAAAAATACACTCCGACTGGCAGGCCTTATGGACGTCGCTGCTCATGCTGAAGGCTGTGGGAGTCGCGCTGGCAGCAGGCCCAGGTTTTTGCTGGGCTAGTTATGGATATTGGTAGCCAGCGAGGCCCAGCTTCTTACAGGATGCTCGTGGCTTGGTTTAGAATAGAATCCCATGCTTTGTGGAAGTGCTGGGCTGACAGCTGTGGAGAGCAAACTCCTCTGCCCGCAGAGCAGGGCAGCAGCATGGGGAGTGGCAGTGTTTGCTCCCCCCGCTCCCACCCAGAGGAGCCAGATCCAGGAGTTGGGGCAGGTGGGTCTCCATAGGCCACTTGTCGGCTTCTCTGCTGAACCTGCCCACGAAGTAACAAGGGCTGCCAGTCAGGAGGGCCTGCTGGGAGTGTTGTCCAAGCCCCAGGGCTCCT